CACCCATGACTTGAATTTCAAAAATCTGGTCATATTTTATTAAAATCTTACCTATAGCTTAGTATCTTAAAATCTCACTACTGCTTAGAACTATCTGAGCTGGGCCAGGCAGGGAAGGGCCAGCCTCATCTCACCAGGGCAGCCACAGCGGTCAAGGTCACCCCTCCCAGGACACCCGGAAGCAGCTAGAAATTTACTCTACAGCTCGACCCTATCCTGTCCTACAGGTTCATAGGTTAACACAGAGGACAAAGATTATGAATCACTACAGTTCCCAAAGCTCACAACTTACTCTCCACCTGCTTCCCCTCAGTTTTACACTGAAAATCCAACAAACTAAGACTGTCATTTTTCCATCACTTTGGTAGACAGTCAAGACAAGGGTTAACATTTTCCTTGTATGCATAATCGCTCATTTGGGCTAAAGGTTTGATTTAAATAGTTAACAGGAAAATCTGAGTCAGTTTTTCTAAAAGTTCCAGTCTTGTTCTGACCTAAAATGTTGAGCATACACTCCTGACTTTGCCTCAGCTTTTGTCAACAGTTCACTCTTACCACTGGGAACCATCAATTTCATGAGGATACCCACTTCTGAAAGACTGTTTGGTTTTTTCTGGAAATCAGGATGAAAATGTAACACCTGTGACAGGTGTTTAGCGATTCAAGCAACCTAACTGCATCTCCAATGAAATTAATCAAACATCGATCCGATGTCGAGTCAGCAGGCTTCCGTGGGTATCTCGCTAGACATTTAAAACACCAGCCTTTTCACTGGATATTGCCATCTAGTACACTGGGGTTGATCCTAACTTAAATCCGCCCTGTTCAACTGCTCTGCTGAGTTGCAGGACACTCTGGTGTCTTTTGCCCGGGAGAATGGCAGAGTCAGAACCCAGGGCAACCTGAGTTACATTCTGGTTACATTACCGCAAGTCCTAGTAGGAAACAGCAAGTGGCCAGAAATGGCCGTGCTCACATGGTGCCTGGCAACACAAACGTTGATCAGGTACGACTCAGGTCTAGTCACCATCCTAGGCGCAAAACAGAATTGTGCTGTAGAAAGAAGAAAGTTAACATTCTAAACAGCCAACATCGATGCAAGACACACTTCAGAGGCCTTATGTTACCGATGGCCATTTTAGTCTCAACAAAAACGTCAATATCCTGAGTTTCTCAGCATCTTCTGTCTAAAATAATTTATGAAACATAAAAGCATACAAATGGATAAACAGAAGCAGTGGCACATGAAGTCTGGGAGAGCGGCCCACTAACTAGCAAGAGAAATGTAAAAAATATATATATAAAGTATTTAAGTGAAATAAATTAAAGGTTAAAACCTTACCCTTTCAAGTTTTCTTAGCCTGTTCTCTTGGGAGATGGCATGGAGTTGACAAGAGTTTTGTAATCACCCTCTGCTTGAGACCGAACACCAAGATATTCCTCCACAAGAAATTTCTGCTTTTAAAAATCACGGCTGAGGAACCACCCGCTGCGTTAACAGCTCCAAGTCCTGGCCAGCCACTCACAGTATCACACTGCTAAGACGCCTTACTCACTAACTTGGCCATAAAATGGTACCCAGAAATCAATGAATAGATGCTTACCTCACCAGCGTCTACAGCAGGCACCTTACTTACTGTAGCATCGACAGAAGCCAAAATTTTGGGACACTGAAGTTATTTTTATAGGACACAAAATAATGGCGACCCAGTAACCCAAAAGGATCCCAAAAGCATGACACTAATGTCTTGTTTTTATTTATTTTTTTTTAAACTTCTTTGCTTCCTAAGTGTTACCTGTAATTTTAAGCCAATTAGCTACACACGTGCTTTAAGATGTGATGGGTTTCTTTACCTCACCTGACATCACTTTTTCAAAAAAACTTAAAACTTATTTGGGAAAACGGTATTAAATTATGCTAAACCAAGGTTTATGCTATATGTATAAAATCCAGCCAAATTGCAAAGAGATTATTTTCTACAGCCCTAGGGTATTACATGATTTAATCACAACAGATTGACAAAGATGGAATCCAGCTTTCTTAATCCAATTAATCATACCCATTAAAACCAAGAGCCTTCTGCGTGACCTGCCAGTTCTGCACTCCGTGTCAACCTAAAAAAGCAGTGACTTTCTGGTCAAGTCGAGTTACTAAGAGCACGAAGGCCCATGATTTTACTTTAGAAATTTGTGTTTTTTTGATCCCCACAAAAATCCACGTCATTTAAGAGCAGATATTTAAATTACATGGCGATCAACTCCAGTGCTGATGTTGGAAACCCCAGTGGCTCTTTGCCTGGTGGAACGAGCCGCCGTTTGGCCACTGGAGTGGAGGGTGGCCACGGCTGCGAAGTCTGCAGAGGGTGGCCTACTGCCCGGCGTTCTCCGCGTGCGAGTTTTCGGCGCTGATGGGCTGCACGTTGTCTGCAAGGTTGTGCGCATGCTCCAGAAACAGATCTTTCAGTACACTCAGCTCCTTGGTGAGCAGTTTGATCTTGGCCTCCAAGCGTTCGTTCTCTTCCTTCAGCTGGTTCACTCTCTGCAGCGTGTCTTGTGCCTTCTGTTTGCTTTTCAAGCGGCTTTTCTTCACAGCCATGTTGTTCCTCTCCCTGCGCTGGCGGTACTCGTCACTGTTGCGATCCATGGGTGAGCTCTTCTTGCTCTGCTTGCTGGGAGGGGCAGCCTTGCCCCCTCCCCCCGGGCCGGCGGGCACCAGCTGAGGAACCTGCTGCAGGCCGCTGGCATGGGCCTGGCTGTGGATAGCACTGAGCCCATTCACTCCCGGAGCGCTGCTGGCCGGCGAGCTCTTGCTCATTTGGGCACTCTCCTTGCCAACACAGCAGGGCAGAAACACGGGCAGGGTGCTCACGGGTTCCCACGCCAAACTGCCCAAAGATCCACGTGGACCTGGGGAAAAACAGATGGCAATAAATACCTGATATGACAGGACTGAATGAGAGAAGATGTGCGTGCACCTAACACAAGGGCCGCCACTGACTGGTGATGCTGTGACAAGTCTGCAGCCACCACTCCAACACTTCAGGTGTCTCAGGCCTTTAGTTTTCAAAGGTAAGTGGTGCAGAAGCACCAGAAGGAGCTGGCAGAGGAGCTCAAGTGGTAGAGCACCAGCCTAGCAAGTGTGAGGCTAAGTTCAAACCCCAGTGCCACCAAAACAAAAAAGGGCAGAAGGCTGAGCCCAGCCCACGTGCACCCCCAGGGGCCGACCATCTGTGAGTGACGGTTATCAAAGTAGAGAGAAAAACAAAAAAAACACACTCATTAGCAGCCCCAATGAAGTAACTGCACTTGACAGTGTGCCAGGGAGACACCTGAGACGTCTGGGCTAACGTGGAAAAGCGGGGTTCAGTTCTGGTGGAAGGCATGGACTGCTGGGGGCAGTGGGGTGGAGCGCCGGAGTTCCTTATGCTGATGGGCACCGTGAGTCTCCGGGGCCTGGACTCTTCTGCACACCTGTCTTTATGCGGCAGTTTGAAAGGTGTTTTTACGTGCTTTTATTCTTACCATGGCGTACTGAAAGTTCCCAAGTGAGCTGCGTGGATTTAGGGTTTCTGAGGCACCCTATGTTTTCTTCAGACAATTAATACAACACCCAGCCACACTCAACAGGAAACTGAAGGAAAGACACAAAAGCCCAAGGAGCCCACGTGCTGGGACACAGGCCGGGTAAGGGGACAGGGCGGCAGCTGTGCCGGGCCGTTCTCACGGGAGCTCAGCACTCGCGTCTGAGCACTGCCCTGGTGGGGCCCACAGAGGTGAAGTCCCAGCCTCAAAAACTACTGACATCTGGAGTCCAGTGACTCCAACTGAAGCCCTACAGCTGCCCGAAGCGTGAACGCACACCTTGACCTGTGTCCACCAAGAAGTCCCAGCACTCTCGGAAAAGCACCCTGTTGCTTTTTCACGCAAGTGCTAGAAGGACAAGGGTGGACGAGTGAGGGGCCCTCGGAGGGAATGAAGAGCAGGTCAGCCAGCGAGCCCCGGCAGCTTCCCCGAGCGGTTCTGCGAACGGTGCGCTAGGCCGTGTTCCGCATCTCCGTCTCAAAGTGCACCTTCATTACGGGTGGTCTTGAAAGCCCCTTCGTCAGCCCTGAGCGAGCCGGTCATCTGTTCTCGCTCCAGCACCGAACGGGACAGACAGAAAGCTTCCTTCCCAGCATGAGGGGTTTCTGTCCAAGTCTCCCTCGATAATGGGCATTTCACAACTTCCCTTGAAAAATTATTAGCGGCCTCGTCTCCTCCCACTTAAAAAGTGGCTGTTCACAAATGTTAATTGGAGCCGTCCATACCGCCATCGAACACTAGTGCTTATCTAGCTGGCGTAGTGAGGAGAACTGTTCCACTCAATTTTTGAGAACTTGTTTACACCTCTCCTGAGACGGGCTTTAATCACCATCGAACTCAGCTTAATTAGCTACTTTTTAACTTTTTATATACCAATTATGTATTTTTTTGGCAGTACTGGGGCTTGAACTCGGAGCCTCACACTTATTAATTAAGCAAGTGCTCTACCATTTGAGCCATCCCCAGTCCTTTACTCTTAACTCTTAAAGCTATCTCCGCAGTCACTTTGGCCAAACTCAGAGCAGACAAGAAACCAGGTCAGATCTTGTCTTGGCTCTGGCTCCTTCAAATCTGCACTAGACACCCCTCCCTCCTGTGGGCTTCAATTTTCCCCATCTGCACACGATGGATGTGAGAAGGGTAAGATGCCTTCCAAGTGACAAACGCCATAAACTGCAGTCACTAAATCAGGAACAGGGAGCGGCTCCTGCCTCATCTTGTCAAGGTACTAGACTGAAAAAAGGTGAGGTTTGGAAAGCGAGCCCTTTGGCTGGAAAACCAAGAGTAGTCAATGAAGCACACACTGGCTAGAGAGAGAGAGGGGCAAGCTGGAGATAAAAAGAACTTCATGGATTTTTTTAAAAGTTCGACTTTTAAAAAAAGTAAGCACTAAAGCGAAGAGAAAATAAGCAAGGGGAGTGAAGAGCCGAGTGACCTACAGGACAACTTCACAGAGCCTACGGTTTTGTTTTGCCAGTGAACTGTCACTTATGCTTCTGCTCACGTACACTAACTGAGCACTACAACAGACTGAAAAGCAAATGCATTTGAATCCTGGATGCTGAAACCTAAGTGCAAGTCTGGTTCCTATACAGACCACTGCAAAGTTCAGGCAGACTGCAGCAGGCAGGGTGGGGCCTGGCTTCCCCAGTGACCCACGCAGGAGGAACCATGGAGATGAAGACCCGATGCAGCAGCAGTTAAGCACTTTGCAAAAATGTCAGTTCTCAGGCTGCCCGGGCCCACCTGTTAGTTCTGGGTGAAGGGCTGACATCTTGTTCCAAGGCCACTTCCAAGTGATTTTGGTGATTCCAGTTTAAGAGCTACTGCGTAGGGAAACAATGGATCTTGAGAACGCTGGAGTATAGAATTTTTTTCAAACTCAAATTTCTTAATTCATGTAATGTGCATTCAAGTCAGTAACACAATGGCAGCTTGGAATGTTAGAATGAGAAAAGTGAAACTGACTTTTTCTCACTTTTCACCTGGGAAATAGACCTGCCAAGACCTCTGTGAGCCCTTTTGTCACTTGTTTCCTTCACTCACTTAGAACCAGGCACTTCTCCCTCCCCCTTCAAAACAGAATTTTCACTCAATTGCCCCAAACCTGTTCAGCTCTGCCAATTCTACTGAAAACAGAAGAAAAAGGTCGCACACCTCCCACTCTTCTCTACTCCAATGCACAGAAATGACCTCAGGATGACATCACCTCTGGGGGTTATGTGTCCCTGGCTGAGCACTGTTCCTCTGACCACTGTCTCCAGAGCCATCTAACGTGCCAACATGAGCCTGGCACACCCTCCTGCTGAAGGCCATCTGTGGCTCCAGCCTCCAGAAGCAAATCCAAGGTCCTAGGCTCTCTCCTGCCATGGCTCCCGAGGGATCCCCCCCCCCC